TTCTTCCAAATTCGAAATTACGTCAAGACGCATTTACCCAACTTTGAAATTCTGGTAGAGCATGAGGCCCTTGAGGCAATAAACAAATTTAACCCTGCTGCTAATGGGGCTGTTTCGTTCTTTTACCGGATTTTGCACAACAATACTCCATTGAACACAGTGAGTCTTAGACAGGCATGGACGGATGAGCTGAGTACAGAACTGGGAGATGAAGTATGGGATGAATGTTTAAAAAATATACATGATTGCTCTGTGAATGTTAGGCATTGCCTTATACAGTTTAAGACATTGCATAGGCTCTATTATTCTAGAGAAAAACTGCACAGTTTCTTTCCTGATGTTTCACCCATTTGCAACAGACCTAAGTCTATGACTGGTAACTTAGCACATTCTTTTTGGTTTTGCAGTAAATTGTATACATACTGGAAAAGTATTTTTCATTGCTTCTCTATGGCTTATGGGAAATGTTGGGAGCCTGATCCATTTGTAGCCATTCTTGGGGCAACTACCCCTTTGTCTTCCGCCAGTAAATATGAGAAAAAGGCTATCATATTTGGAACTGTGATTGCGAAGAAGTAAATCCTCCGGGCATGGAGGTCGGACATTGCACCCACGTACGATCTGTGGCTGAGAGAAATGGCAAATATGCTCCATCTGGAGAGACCGAGACTTTACAATGAAGACAGGGGAGACACAATTGATAAGATGCGGGACCCGGTACTGCAGCTGTTTCAAGGAAAGGACTAATGTGTCGATCACTGTGAGACACCTTGCTGTGTGTATCTCTCATTTTACTCTTCACCTTGTACTTTTTTTTTTTTTTAATTTGTATGTTTGTATTTTATTGTCATGACTGTGGCTCAAATTATTATTATTACTACTATTATTATTTCTTACGTATGATGTGCTGATCCTGTTCATGTTTGTTGTTTTATTTGTTAGTTTTGGGGTGGGGGGAGGGAGGGTCTTTTTTTCTACTATCTGTTTGTCCTATGTTCTTGTTTCATTCTGAAAAACAATAAACATATGTTTAAAAAAAAAAAGTTTCTGACGACAACAAATGAGGCGACAGTGGAGGAGGTCGTTATGGACGCAGAATACAGAGAATTCTTTTCACTATTTTCACAATATATTACTGTATATTACCAATTTGTTACGTTCCGCCATTATTTCAACTTCTTTGTCGTCTCCTACAGTTTTATCTCCCTTAAACACACTACACTGCCTCCATGATCTCTGGTGACGCTGCGGGATGCTGCTCTGTTTCATCTGTATCTGTAAGCTCTCAGAAAATGTGCACAAATAAATACAAAATGAACGTTAAAAAAAAAAAAAAAAATCCTTCAAAGTGGACTAGGTGGTAAAACATGTGGTGTCATTAAATGCACGTACAAACACAACACTGCTGTGAAAAATTCACAATCAAAGAACAGAATACTTTACTCAAGGACACAGTGTAAAACAAGGATGCTGTTTAAGTCCCACATTATTCAACCTGTATATAAATGAACTTGCAGACCAGTTGAACCGCTCAACAGCTCCAGGCCTCACACTCTTTGACACAGGGATTAGATATTTGCTCTATGCAGGTGACCGGATTCTGTTGTCTCCAACCAGTGATGGTCTTCAACATAACCTGACCATCCTGGAACAATACTGCCATAACTGGGCCTTGGATATAAATTTTAAGAAAACCCAAGTTATGATCTTTCAAAAAAAGCCCAGATGTCTTGAAAACAAATACCATTTTACTTTAAACAATACGGTAATTGAACACACAAAAAGTTATACTTACCTTGGTCTGACCATATCTGCATCAGGAAGTTTCAACATGGCAGTAAATGCACTCAAAGAAAAAGCTCGCAGGGCAATGTATGCTTCATCCTCGTGAGGGTTGCGTGGGGGCTGGAGCCTATCCCAGCTATTTTTTACTTCTCTTAAGATATTTAAATTATCCTCTTACCTAAATTATTGCATGACAAATGACATGAAATGTGTTTTTAACCCACTAACTTATATCTACTGCCATATAAACTCCTCAGTAACAGAATAAACATTTTTATCTCACTGCACAAACATTAATGTAAGAGTAGCTAGCTTAAGTGCTGCGAATGCGCACGTTAACAGTTCAATATGGCCACGCCGCCGTGCAGTATCCAGGAACTGGCTTACACATCGACTGAAATTACAAGAAACTCATCATTTCACCAATATAACATTACAATAACACATGGAAAACTATTGTGAACATGTTTTGTGAAGTTTACAGTGCTTTATGTACGGTAATTACCTTAAACAGGAGGAATAGTAGTGAGAGAGGAATGAGGACAAACACGCAGCTCTGTCGTTCACTGGTCTGTATTGAGTGAGGAAGCAAAGTGCGTCTCCCCCTTTCAGAGCCCTGAGGCATTACCAACAGATCACCAAGCAGTCAACTCACTCATTCAAGGCTCTGCACCACCTATCTGTGTCCATTTACTTGCCTCGCTGTTTGCATATCTTGACAATAACCAATACCAGTACACATTAGTACCCAATAATGACATCAAATAAAATTACTAGGGCTGTAGTCAACCAAAGAAAATCTTGGTTGACTGAAGTTGCACATAATCTTCAACTAATCGATTAGTCGTGGGAAAAAAAAAATCTGCACGTTATTTTTACTTCTGCAGTGTCTGTGTCACTCTGCAGTTACACCCCCAAAACACTAGTCGGCGGTGGAGGACTGTGTGAAGTGCTGTAAAATTTAGTTAAAATCAAACTTTATTTATATAGTTGATTCAAAACACACATTAAATAAGACTTAATAGAGACAATTTCAAACACAAGTACGCAAATTGGCTTCACTATAAATCGCAGAACTGACAGACAAACACTTGTCTTTACCTGGACACATTTCCCCCGGGTGCGTGGCATCAATCCGACCACCCAATGGTTCGACTACCCATTAGTCTGACTACCCAAAGGTCCGACCTAGTATTTGAATCCCATTAGGTCAACCTCCCAAAAATCCAACCGCAGTAAAGTTACATTTCAGGGGGGACCAGGCAACTTTCCCCTTTCAGTAAACACAGAGCAGCGGTACCACTAAACAACTGTGTTTATCTTATCGACAGGAAATCACATCATCTGCTATATGTGATGTACATGCCCTTATTTGGATAACACATCCTGGAATTCCCCACACACTGGAAGATGTTTTAAGTGGGGGGTGGGGGGGGGGGGGGGGGGGGGGGGGGTGTACATAGATAAAAAAAACAACATCAGCAGAAAAAGTCTTTATGTGTGGGCAATACCAGGATATGTTATCCAGATAAGTGGAAAGTATGTCACATATAGCAGATGATGTGATTTCCCGTCGATGAGATAAACGCAAATGTCCTCACAGTCCGTGCCGGCGCAGTGAGGGAGAAATGTACAGACTGCATCGTGTTGGAAGTGCTGTGGTCGGACTAACGGCCGGTGGGACTACTGGGTATGAAACAATTTTGCTCCATTACAACTCACAACATTCACCAAAAAAACAACTGTCTTATACTAAACATGTTTTCCAAACAAATACAACATGCTAACGTTATTAGCACCAGCCTATGGCATTTTACATAGTATAAATTAGCCTAACGACAAGCGGAGATTTCCTCTGCTCATATGAAGCCAGGATAAATCCTGAAGTATAAATCCCTGAAGGACAAATTGCACACAAGACTTAAAATGCTTTTTTAGTGGAGCCTTTAGTGTCTTCACAATTTATTGTTTCTTATCTGTGAAATACAAGTAAATAAAAGCTTCGTTTCCACTGAGGAAAAATGGCTTCAGCTTACAGAAACAGACAGGAGGTCTGCGTCACCGCGACGTTGAGCGTGAGGATGGGCGAGCTCAACTTTCTGTCAACAAAGGTAACAGGTAACTTAGCCTGTCCCCCTGCCGCAGGAAATAATGGATTAATCCTGGAAAGCTGTTGATGTAGCACTTTTCTCCTTATGAAAGTAGCATGGCGATTATTCAACCAATAAGAATTTGGTCGGACGAGAGCATAGCGACCAAATAATCAATTAGTCGACCAGGAGACTACAGCCCTAAAAATTACACATTTCACCTGGGGTTTGATGACTCTGAGATGGATTACTCTTGTTTGTCATATAATAACCCTGGTCCAGGAGGAAAGAGCGCAAAAGAGTCTTAGGAGCAAGAGCTGGTCAGCACCTCAAGGGAAAGAGCTGCAAGAGTCTGTAGAGCAAGTGCCCCGTTCAGTGGTTCAGGGGCAAGTATGTCTGAGCCGGTCAGCGGCTCAGAAGAAAGAGCACAGAGAGAGTGATGAGAGGGAAAACTTCTCCTAAGTATTTTGGCCCAGTCATGATGTTTGGTGAACACTACATCTGGTGCCTCGCTTCCTTTCTACAAATTGCTGTCATGGTTATTATTATGATGGGCTCTCAAGCATGAAAGAACTCAGCCAGCCCCTGTCTTTAGCCTTTATTAGGCCACTCAACTGCTGGAGTTCATTTTTCCAGGTAAAGCACTCCCTGCAGTGTGACGAGGAAGACCACAGAAACTCAAAAGCAACCCAACCGGTCTTTTAACTGTTGTGAATCTAAATCTGTCATTTGAAACAAGCGTGCGTTCACTGCCAGAGTGCCTGCAGGTGTATCAGGAGTCTTGTCTTGATGCTTACATGAACAGTCAGGGAAATAACTGGTTGTTTGTCAGGTTTTTAAAGTTTATGGAGTGGTAACATCTAGGAAAAGGTTTTCATATGTCTATAGAGCATCATATATACTGTGAGCAGTAATTCTCTACCATGATATAACCCTGTCAAATTGTGTGCCATAATTCCATTGCACAAAACTTATTTTTAAAGTGAGCAGCAACCAAGTCTAAAAATTGTGCCAAAACGATTAAAAAGAACATGGAAACTGTGTGATAACCCTGTTTTAACAACCTATTAGTCTGCATTTGCTATATATGATAAATCTAATATGTATTTGACTTCTTCTCCACAGACACTGCTCCGACATCATTTGAAGGCAACTATGGTAGGATCGTTTACAGAGTGAGAGCTTTTATTGACACACCACGATTTGCCAAGGACTACAACACAGAGAAAGCTTTCTACCTGCTCAGGCTTCTAAACCTGAATGAAGTGCCAGACATATGGGTGAGACATGAATAGATGTGTATGTAAATGGTCAATCCTTGACTTGTTCGATTAATACACAAGGCTGATCTAGGTCCTCAGAGTTCAACAACCCACCACCAGCTAGGGCTGGGTATTTGTGCTACAACTCCATTTTCAAAAATGTTTGGACACTGTGTAAAGCACAAATAAAAACAGAATGCAATGACATGCATATCCTTTTGACCTATATTCAATTGAATTCAGTACAAAGACAAAATATTTTATGTTCCAATTTTATTTTGTAAATATACACTCATTCCGAATATGATGCCTGCAAAATGTTCCAAAAAAGTTGGGACAGGAGCAACAAAAGATTGCAAAAGTTGTGGAATCCACCTGGAACTTTTCACAGGTAAATAGGTTCATTGGTAACAGGTGATAGTATCATGACTAGGTTTAAACAGAGCATCCCTGAAGGCTTAGTCAATCGCAAGCAAGGATGGCACAAAGTTCTTAAATTGTTGGACAATAGCCCAATAATTTAAGAATGTTTCTCAGCCTGGGGCGTCGGTGGCTTAGTGGCAGAGCAGGTGCCCCATGTACAAGGCTGTTGCCGCAGCGGCCTGGGTTCGAATCCAGCCTGTGGCCCTTTACTGCATGTCATCCCCCCTCTCTCTCTCCCTCCTTCACACTCACCTGTCCTGTCCATTAAAGGCAAAATTGGCCAAAAAATATCTTTAAAAAAAAAAAAAGAATGTTTCTCAGCCTACAATTGCAAGGAATTGAGGGATTTCACCACCTCGATCACAGTGAGCCTGTTACAGACAAGTGATTATGCTGGTGGCCTTGTGGTTGATGACTTTATTCAGTCGTGTGTTGACTGCTTTTTAAATCTGAATGTCACTCAAATATGAGATGTACAGTCTGTGAACATTTTAGAAGAAAGCCCTCCACAGTCTTTCAGACAGTTCAGGGTCAGATCATTAAACAACTTCAATGTTAGAAATATTGGGTACTGTCATTGATGATCAGCTGACATCACAACTCAGTAGCAAAAAAGCTGAGCAACAGCTGCACTTCCTCTGGAACCTCAGCTGGTTTGGGGTGTCAAAGACAAAAATAAGTCTTCATAGCTGAACATTTTAAAAAGGGCTGAAGTCCAGAGGAATTCAAGAGTCACTGTTGTTATTGTCAAGTTTTTTTTGGGGGCAAGTCAAAAGTAATCAGATTCATGATTTCAAATCGTATGACTTGAGTCCACACCTCCCGTGACTTCACAGTGACAACAAGACTCTCAGAAGCTGCACGCAGTCACTGTGTCATTTGTTTGTTAACTAAGAAACAACTCCACCATTTCTAATTGTGTAATGGTTAAACAAATGAGTCACAAATACATATTTGTCAGTGAACTAATTCAGTTTGGATTAAGCCAGGCTAGCTGTTTCCCAGTGCTTCCAGCCTTTATGCTAAGTTTGGCTAACCACGTTGTGACTCCAGCTCTGTACTAAAAACACAGAAATGATATTGATTTCCATCCATCCTGTCGTCTAACTTGTCATGTAACTAGGAAAGAAAACAAATAAGCCTGTTTAAATGTTGAAATATTCCTTTTAATAAACATGTATGACGTGATGTTATTTCACCATCTTCTCCATGCAGGGAACCTGTTCATCTGCTGTGACACAGCAATTCACCTACATGCTGATGAAAACAGGCACAGTGGTCCTGAAGGCCGAAACCGACATGAAGGGTTACACACCAGGCCAGATCATCAAGGTGATGGCCAATATCCACAACCAGTCTGGGAAGAACACAGGCAACATGGTGGCCAGCCTGATGCAGGTAAACACTTGTTACAACCAAACCTCTAAGGTTATGTTCAGGCGTACAGATTAAAATCTACTTTATCAAAGAACTACCACCAAATCAGAGTGATCCAAATCTCCCATTACATTTAAAGGCAATACAATATTTTTGCACTAATTTATAATGTATTGATTTTATGATTTGATTACTGTTTTATTAAACCTCCGTGTTGGTGGATTCCTTATGTTTTTGTCCCTCCATCCATCCACCCGTCCGTCCGTCCATCCTTCTGTCCATCCATCCGTCGGCCTCATCCTTGTGATAGGTCAAGATTGCCTCAAGGGAATTTCTTCCAATTTGGCACAAATGTTCACTTGGACTCAACAATGACCTGATTGGATTTTGATGGTCAAAGGTCAAGGTCAGTGTGACCTTGTATGTGTCTCATTCTTATGAACATGATATCTCAAGAACACTTTAAGGGAATTCCTTTAAATTTGGCAGACAAATATACACTTGGACTGAAGAATAAATTGATTTGAATTTTGTGGTCAAAGGTCAAGGTCAGTGTGAGCTCACAAAATGGACCATAACTCAAGAGTTAATATGCTAATTATTACAAAACTTCACACAAATGTCCAATAGGATAACATAATGAAGTTATGACATTTTATATCCAAAAGTTCAAAAGGGGAGTATTTTGGATCATTGTTACAGTACAATCAGCAGTGCCCATTATGCCAGTTTCAGACCAGGGTGAGTTATAACAGTAACAAACCCTGGTTCACAGCTCAGCTCAGACAGCTAAGGTTGTAAAAAAAAAGGAAGTGTTAAGGGGTGGGGACAGGGATGGGTTATAAGAGTCAAAGTACAGACTTAGCAAAGGACATCTCTCCACTTTGTGCATGTATAGGTCCTGTTTGTGCATGTGTGTGTCTTTCTGACCTGTGTGTAATTGACAAGCAAGTGAAAACACTGAATTTTTCCTCAGGGGGATTAATAAAGTAAATAAACTTAAACTTAAGAGAGGCTAAACCACTGTACTCTGACAAACTCCAATTGCACTTAGCTGACGACTGTGCATCTGTCTGGAGGAGGTCTCAGACAGATCACCAACTGCAGACCTAAAGCATGCCAAGCTGACAGCTGACCAATATTGGGCCGTTGGTGAGTGTCTGTCGCTCTAGTTTTTGCGATGTGTCCTGCACCGTCAACTTTTTTTCAGCTGTTTCAGCATATTGAATTAGCGTTAGAGATGGCACAGCCCATTGGTGAATGTAATCACTCTAATAGGCAGTTTAGCTGAGTGCACTAGAAGAGGAACAGAGGTGAGGAAAGCAAATAAACCTCTAATGTCATGAGCGAGTGAGATAAGAACAAACTTGTTATATTAGGTAAGATTATTTTTAGCCATTGAATTTTTTAGCAGAAATGGTTCGTAATAGTTTCTGTTATTGTTTGCTAGTGCACAGCAAATATCCTTTGTTCTTTCAACATAGCATTGCATTGTTAACTACTGTCTTGAATCTGTTGTGTCAGTCCTCTGGTTTCCCTTTTTGAATGACAATTACAGACTAGTGCTGCCTGTTGCTATGGAGGATTATTTCCTCTCCCACAGGCCCAGACTGTATGTGCTGTTTGCTCTGTTGGCTCATTTACAACTTTTTTGGCTGAGATACAGGTAACACAAGGCAATGCGACATTCAGCCTTTGTCACTGCTGCTGTAGTTCTTAGTTGTGAGTTTGGTGTGTCTGGGCCTTGAAACCCCCACTCCATTATCAACTATCTCCAGGCCAATGACCTGAACGAGTTCTACTGTAATTTTGGAAAAAAACGTGGAGATGGTTTTGGATTTTAGAAAGAGTTAAGCCCCACCTACCCACATCCCATCAAAATATCTGCTGCGAGAAATTCTTCTGTTTTCAAAGGATGAATCCCTGAATCATCCCATAACTACAGAAATAACAATGTCTTTGTACTCTTAACATGTGCTTTTAAGTTTATTTGGGATTCAAACATTACCTTTGATTAGAAGCTTTTTTTTCATTGCTTTGTGTTAGGGTTCTTGTTTTTTTACCATTAGATCAATAAACTGTGCTTAATGTAAAACAAAACAGATAATATACACCGTTTTCTAACAAGTCTGCCATATCAACTTTATAAGGTGATTATATACCAATTTTATTTTTTTTTTTTTACCCGCAAGTGGCTAACATTTTTATAAATAGATTACAACCCCAATTCCAAAACAGTTGTGATGCTGTGTAAAACATAAATGAAACAGAATGCAATGATTTGTATGACCTTTTTGATCTATATTCAATAGAATACAATATACAGACAAGATATTTAATGTTCAAACTGATAAACTTTATTGTCTTCTGTAAATATACACTCATTCTGAATTTGATGCCTGAAACACATCATAATATAGTAGTTTACCACTCTGTGACATCACCTTTTCTTTCAACAACACTCAGTAAGTCTTTAGGAACTGAAGACACTTATTGTTGAAGTTTTGAAAGTGAAAGTCTTTCCCAGTCTTGTTTGATAAATGACTTTTGTTGATCAACAGTCCGGGGTCTCTGTTGTCGTAATTTGCCCAATATCACAAATCACAATTTGCCTCACAGGGCTTTACAGCATACAACATCCCTCTGTCCTTAGGACCCTCACAGCGGATAAGGAAAAACTCCCCCAAAAAAACCCTTTAACGGGGGAAAAAACGGTAGACACCTCAGGAAGAGCAACTGAGGAGGGATCCCTCTTCCGGGACGGACAGACGTGCAATAGATGTCGTACAGAACAGATCAGCATAATAAATTAACAGTAATCACTATGACACAATGAGACAGAAAGAGAGACAGAGAGAGAGGGAGAGAGATGCAGGACAGACGGTAATGACAGTAGCTTACAACAACATTATTGAAAGTAATAATATTATAGTTATAGTTCTGGCTACTGTAGTACAATATGTTGAAAGTATATATTAATATCTGGCAGTATACATGTGTGACAATAATCATGTGTATAATAACAGTAGAAGTATGACTAATGACTAATGATGGCAGCAGCAACAGGAGGCATCTGGCAGGACAACGGCAGCAGCACAACCACACACGTCACGCTATCCAGGAACCACTGCAATATGAGTTAATCTGAGAGACAGTGGAGCACAAAGGCTCCGGAGAAGAAGCGTCAGTTAGTAACATCCAGAATGGCCGAGTTAGGAAGATGCAGTAATAGAATACGAGAGAGAGAGAG